TTAAAAGATGAGTCTATCTGAACCTTGGATGACAGACCGCTACTCTGGTCTAGCAGAGCGTCAGACGAGGGCAACACACCTGTGGTAAAAGAGCCTTGCGGCGTTGTGAACGAAGGCTTGGTCGTGGTGGTCGGGGCGGGGAGCAGCATGTCCTCGGTCACGCTCAGTGACCCGTTGTGCGGCGCTGGTTCGATCTGCAGCAGTTTGCACATCAGAGGGTAGATGTGGATGCTGTCGAACGGCTCGGACAGGTAGCTCCTCTTGAAGCTCGGTCCGAAGGCCCTGAAGATGGTCTTCATGTCCATCTCCGTGTTATGGAAGCCGTGGTCACCTTTATTCACGTAGACGATGAGTCTCTGGTGTGAAACGATATGAAGTCGATATACGATCTCTAGATTTGTTGAATTTTGCTTCTTGGAGGTGAAACGTTGGGGTACTTACAGAGTTCAGGTTGAATCCCAGATCTGCGATGATCACGATGGGAGGCAGACGCTCACTTTTGGCGAGATGGAAACTTTCTGGAATCTCGTTTTTCTTGTACACCGTGATATTGGGCACGTTGGAGAGGGCGTCGAAAACTTCCTGCTCCTTCCCCGGACGTGGCGTCAGGATGCCAAACCCGCCGTAGTCGAGAATTTCAAATTTGGCGACCTTGAATAAATTCAGGTATTTGTTGAGGATGACCTCGTCTACCTGCGGCTTCTTCTTTACTGTGGTCATGCCGTGGTCAGACGTGATGATGACATTCAGCCTGTCGGTCAGGTTGTGGCGATCGATAGCGTCCCTCAAGTAGCCGATGGTGCGGTCGATCTGACGGATGATCTCTTTCCGGTCCGGCGTGTCCGGCCCTTTGGCGTGGCCCACGCGGTCTGGCTGGCCATAGTACAGCGTCACCAGGTGGAAGTCCTCCTCGGAGAACCAGCTCATCACCGTGTCGATCTTCTGACGCCACTCGGTCTCATTGTCGTCGGGGTGGCCGGACTCCTCCAGTAGCACTCGATTGACCGCTTGGCCGCTGTAGTTGGCTCCGCCTCCGGGGAAGAAGAAGGAAGCTGTTTTCAGACCCTGAAATTAGAATAACAGAATGGTAAGCACCACATCGCACTCCGGATCTGTGATCGTATTATGGCTACAAACAGCCCAGAAGTGTTAGAAGCACTCGAGTTCACAGGAAGTCAGATTTCATCCAGCTTGGTTTTTTATCAGTGATGTTCCTGAAGAATCCAACTTTTCCTCGAATTAGACAAACGTAGAAATAGCACCTTTAGATGTGGACTACTTTCTACATCTGGTGCTTTCCTGAGTGTTTGGACGCGTCAGCTGCGGTAAAATAACCACAATGACGCGTCCTCCTGTGTCGGTGCAGCTCGTCCTTCACCCCGACTCACCTGGTTCTGAGCGGTGATCCACAGCGGCAGAGCGCCATTGTCCCACCACTCCGATCTCTTCATCGTCTCTTTGCCAGGAACTTTCAGGTTCGTCTCTTGGT